AAAAAAGTTACTAGGTTTGTTCCAGTTATGAAGAATAACTATGTGTAAACAGAGTGACCTTTGCAGTGTGGTACAGAGCAGGCCATTTCCCTCCCCTACAAGAACACTTAGGGTAAAGCAGTGGTCACTTTACTGCCCTCTAAGTTTCTCTGTAACAAGAACAAAACCAGTACAAAAGCATACACCTTATAAAGAGGCCTCAGTCGTAAATCTGGGTGACCAGAAGGCTTTGTCGCTTTTAAAAGGGTGTCTGATTTCAAACTCTACTGCAGTTTCCTCTCCTTTGTGTTCTATGGGTTTGGGAAGTGGCTAGAAAGGAAGGGCATTGCTCACTGTGGCTCTCCATCAGAAAACCAAGAGCAGCAGAAGATAAAACCATAAAGTAAACTTTTAACCATCAGGACCTATTACTCTGCCAGTTTCCCAGCTCTAGGGTATTCTCTCTTATTTCAGTGATGTCTGTATTCTGCTGTCTTGAGCCAGTTCAGCCATGGATGTGTGTGGAGGGCAGGAGGGAGGGAGAGGACAGAGATACCCTCTTCAGTGGTTTGCTTTGAGAGAATGTGCCACACACATGTTCTAGAAATATGTCTGCTACCTTCCCAAGCTTTCACTACCAAACAGTTATGACTTCTTCACAGCTACCTACTAAATTACTTATAATCAATTTAGACTTGGATGAAGCCTTTTATTCCACTTGAAGGGAATTCCAGTGTCCCAGCCAAAGGTGAGAACCTAGTAGTTTATTAGGTTTTCTGCCTTTCTGAGCAAATGATTCACAATTAACAGCTCACACTCTGATAGGACTGCCTAAGAGAAATCCATGTGGCTTTTTAAATTGCATTTTTAAAGCATGCTGGAGAAAATTCCTGACTCCTACAACAGAATAAAGTCATCTGTAGAAGGTGATACAGTGCCCAACCAGATATAATTCACAGTCTAAGCATTACTGAACACATCTTTATCTTCTGACCCAGCTTGTTTATTCACAATGTGTTCAATGGAGTCATAGAATGTATAAAAGCTTTTCCAGGAAAAACTGTAAGAGTTCCAGTTAAAGGATCCAGGTTCCTGCTACATGACTCAATGACAAATGCATTAAAACAGGCAGTGCAAGACAATTCTATCACAAGAGATGGTGCAACTGCTCACTCTGAGTGCCTCGGAGCCCTGAGCACTGCTGCAAATGCTCAATTACTACAGTGCTGAAGGGATTTTTGAAGGGCTGCAGAGCCACAGACAACTTGAAGCATCAAGTCTGTCCCTGCATTACCTTCCACTAACTAGCTCAGAACACCAGAACCTTACCCTAAATCCACTGCCACTACAATTCAAGCCTTGTTGAAACTTAACCTCGGAACTTTGTTCCTAATAATCGATGCAAATGTCTCAAGCCAATTTGTCCTTAATCAAAATAAACTGCAGGGTTATAAACAGTCAATCTAGCCTGGGTGGCTAATTGTGACAAGGGTATGGTGAGATTCTTTCAACTACCTTAATAAAAGAGGAAAGCAACCCAAAATAAAACTTTCTCTCAACTACACAAAACACAGCATGTAATTTTACTACATGGCTAACACTTCCTTATGTGTGCACTGTCACAACTCTTTGCAAGTAACCAAAACACAAATTTGTTATTCAAAACCTTCCTCACAACACGTGAAGCTACTGAACAGGTTGAAAAGTCTCAAATTCATGTGCTGCTCAAAGGTTTTCAGAACACAGTTACTGAGAATTTCAAAATTCTGAGCTGCAAAGCCACCAGAAATGTTTGAAAGTTTCACAAACTTTACACTAAATAAACACATTCCTTTAGCATGAACAGTGGTATTCCTTGAACCTCCAAACCCAATCTCTGACATGTAAACCCAAATTTTTCTTCCGGCTTGCCATTTCTAGTGATTCTGCACACATCAGTTTAGATCCATGAGACCACTGATCAGTAGCTGATCAGGAGTCCCTTCAACATGCTTCACTGCAAGAGGACCAACACCTTAACAAGAGATATTTCCATACAGCTATATCTAAGCTATCAGAACAATTTTTTCTAGGTTTTGAGCACCTTGGGCAAATTGCTAAAGGTGAATTTCCCCCCAAGTTGCTTACTCTAACATCATGTATTTCACTTCTGACTGCAGTGGATTGTATTTTATCTGTTGTACAGAAATAGATCAACAGAAAAGAGACTTTACACACAGAACTCAACCTTACCATCCTCTGTTACAAATTCTAGCTCTGGAACCTCCTAGAACATTCTACCATACCATCAATACAGAAAAAAAAGTGATAATTTGAAATTCCTGCCAGCAGCCACTGTTTTCTCAACAGAATCACAGAGTATCAAAGTTGGAGGAGACCTCTAAGATCATCCAGTCCAACCATTAACCTGACACTCTGCATTACACTCTAACAGGGATAACATTTCTCCTCACATCCAATCTGACTCTGCCCTGGCTCAGCTCAAGGCCATTCCCTCTAGTCCTCTCCCTGCAGCCCTGGCAGGACACACATCCCCCACCTCTCTCCAGCCCTGGCAGGAGGCGCAGAGAGCCAGGAGGTCACCCCTGAGCCTCTTCTCAAGGCTGACCAAGCCCAACTCCCTCAGCCCTTGCCCATGTGCTCTATCCCTTTGCTGCCCTCGTTGCCCTTGGCTGGACTCACTCCAGTGCCTGAATGGCCTTTGGGCAGTGAGTGCCCAAAGCTGAGCACAGCACTGAGCTGGGACCTCCCCAGTGCCCAGTCCAGGCGGGTGAGCACTGCCCTAGTCCTGCTGGCCAAGAAACAGAAAAGTAACTAAAACATTTTACACCATTCATAAATATGCAAACAGATCTGATAGAAGCAGTCTGGTCATTTCAAGAAGGCTAAATCCTGATAACCATTTCAAGCATTCAAACCAATACAGAGAAAAATAATCAGCATTTCTATGGAGAATATCCTAAGAGAAATTATTTCCACTTCCTAACCAAAGACAGGTATCCAGTACTTCAGCATTTAATAGAACGAAAGGTTTCATCATGGTCAAAAGTAACTGAGAATATCATTCTAAACATATGGTAAGTAAAAATATGTAGGTAACATTTTGGAATTAGAACACTATGTGCACTCAAGAGTATCACTTGACCATTTGCTTTCACAAAAAATTCTATTAATTTTTCAGCAGGTCCCAGAGCAAAACACAGTAACTTTGATCAACAATAGCAAAACAAGTAAGAACAGTAGTAATACTCTTTCAGATCAGATAGCCTGAAGCAGAGACCAAGCCCTGAAAAACCATCTTACCAGGAGCCTTCAAAATTTATGGTTCAATAGCTTTGCTGGAAATCACTGTGGAATGAGGCTGTGCTGTGGCACAAACATACTAAAGAGTAACAGGAAAAAGCTTGTAAAATGCAGCACGATCAAAAAGGTGAAATGGGTAGATCCACATACCAGACACCAAGATCCACCTAACCAAGAAGCCAGACCAGAACTTGTATCAACACCCCCTGACACCTAGCAACTACCTGTCAAAAGGCACACTTAGAATCATAGAATTAACCTGGTTGGAAGAGACCTCAAAGATCGAGTCCAACCCTACTGTGGTCACTAGACCATGGCACTAAGTGCCACATCCAGTCTCAGCTTGAAAACCTCCAGGGATGGTGAATCCACCACCTCCCTGGGCAGCACATTCCAATGCCTGAGCACTCTCTCTGTAAAAACTCTCTTCCTAATATCCAACCTACCCCTCCCCTGGCAGAGCTTGAGTCTGTGCCCTCTTGGCCTGCTGCTGGTTGCCTGGGAGAAGAGACCAACCCCCACCTGACTCCAACCTCCTGTCAGGGAGTTGCAGAGGGTGATGTCACCCATGACCTTATCACTTCTCCCTCTAATAGGTGAGCCAGGAAGTAACAATAACAACACTGGAGTGTCCACCTGCTCTACTGTCACCATTGTGCACCAGACCTCGGCAGAACAACCAGCTGCTAACAAAATGAAAACCAGTGTGTACATGGGAAAACCTAGCCAGAGCAGCTAGAGGAAGGTAACAGCTGTGCCCAGACACTCGGAGCAGCAGAGCTCTGGTGATCTCAGGCACAGGGCACGGAGAAGGGACCAAGCAGAGGTGACAATGTCCCCCCGCGGGTGCCAGCACAGAGCTCTGCGGCCCTCGCGGCTCCCTCTGGCGGCCGCGGGTGTCCTGGCACCCGGTGCCAGGGGCACTGCCCAGGGCACTCCCTGCACCTCCCAAACTCACAGTCCCCTCCTCACTCGGGGCAAGGCACTGCTGCACAAACGAGGCACATTCTGACTCACTAGAGGAAAATCCGAGCAGCATCATTACCAGTTGTGAAACTGCAATTATCAGTGGTGCCTCAAAGTGCAGCATCTCCATTAAGAAGACCTTGAGCTTAAGAAGCAGGTGAAAAAAGAACAATGAGTGGCTTTACAAACTACACTGTAGTCTAGCTTCCTTGCAGTGAACAACCTGAATGAAGCATTTCATTTATCAGATCCTTCGCTGCTGAGGAATCTAAGGCTACTCACATCAAAGAAATATTCTGGCATGTAAAATCATAGAATCAGAGAAGAGTTAGGGTTGGAAGGGACCTCTGGAGATCACCTAGTCCAACCCTCTGCCAAGGCGGGGTCACCTAGAGGGATGCAGTCTTATAAATGTGTTTAGGTCCTGTCTTAACCAACAGAACTAAAGACCAGAAGTTTTGTCCCTTCAAACCACTTGAGAGCAGAGCAGACACAAATATAAGGTATTCTGCTTAAGTGTGTACTTAGCACTATTCTTACAAATCTGAAGAAGTCACTGTTGAATATAAACCCCAGTTATTTTAACACAGTGTCAGCTACTCTGTTCTGAACTAAGCTTTTTGTTTTAGAAGATGATTAAATGGAACAATAAACCATATTAAATCCACCATTTATTTTGGCTAACATAATTAAATAATTACACCAGTGAAAAGAAAACCATTTTAGTTTACAGATCCTTTCTTCCTACTTACCTAGCAAATTCAGCCAGTTGCTTGGGGTCTGAGAGGTCAATGCCAGGTATTCCACCAGGAGGAAGTTTCTTCCCTGTCATGTATTCTGAGTAATCTGGAGGAGAATTCTCTCCAATGATCTGCTCTTCCACCACTGTCTCATGGTCAATATCTTTCTTATCATCTGAAATACACAAAACACTGAATTCAATACATACTAAAGACCAAAACAGCATGTAAGTTACCAGGCTGCATCTCAATACAAATTCCCTACTGTAGCATATTTAAAGAAATGCACTGCCCTTCCAGGTTTCCATGCTAACCGTGAAGAGCAAAGACACCTGTACAGTTACAGCATGAAGAACACAAAGAACACACAGGTGAAGAAACAAAAGCAGAAGTTGCATATCTACTTAAATCCAGAACGAAGTAGAACAGTCCTATGAATGTCAGCTGCATTTGAAAGATAACATACTTCTCCTGCAACAATGCCTAAGTGTTTAATTCCCTTAGCCTCTTCAAGACTAACCACCACCATGCCCACTTTGGTACTCAGCAGCTCCCCATAACTTTGCAAGCCTATCAGAGGAGTGGCACACACTTACCCTAAGATGTCAGGACTACCAATCTCTACTTCAGAGTCTTCAGACTCTGCTGACCTCCAACAGAAGTATCACAGAGGGACAAGAAATTTAAAAATAACTGCTAATGGGCTTCAGCGCCTGCCTGGAAAATTAAGGATTTTAAACACTTGCAGACAGGTCTGAAAGAAAGCAAAGAATTAAACTGTGTGTCTGCCTCCTAAGGGGGTTTCTTCCTTCTGGGGCAGAGGGCAGCATAAGCTCTTTCCCACTCTGCTATGTAAACAGCAGCCTGGGATCATTCAGAGCTTTGATCTGCAAGCCAGTTAAGATACTCCTGTTTGCTCTAGAGCTCCTCCTATGAATTTGTGCTCGGGGACTGCAGTGAAATCAGGTGGAAGACCTGCTGTTGCTGCCTACTCATGTTCAGACCTTAGAATACGCAAGGCACAGTGTTTTATCTCTCCTCTTGGTGTTTTATAACAGAAACTGAGACACAAGAGTTATAGAGAACAGACACATCCACCTGTGTTCCTGTCTGCAGTGCTCACACCAGCAGAAGTACACAGCAGTTTTCCACCCTCAAACACACCTAGGACAACAGAAGTATATATGGTTGTAACTACTCAGCTAAGCGTGATAAACTGGACAGTGCACTACTTATCCTACTGTATGGGGAACAGATTCTGGAAATCATTTTATACGCAAGAGACTTTAAGCAAATAACAGGAAGTTTTATTTGACAGGTAGTGTTTAAGGAATGGAAACACAAGGTTGAAGGACAGAAATAATATTTCACTAATTTAAAAAAAAAAACAAAACAGGAAAACATAAGGCAGAAAACAAATGAGAAAATGTTTGGGTTCCCCCCCCCCCCAAACAGAAACACAGGAAATAGCATTATTCATCATGCAGTAAGTTAGGCAAGGGAAGAGAGGATAAGACATGCAAAGAGAAGAAATATACTGAGCACAAATTTCTATCCAGTTTGCAGTGCCTGCTTTCAACGTTTGCCACTGAGCTATTTCTAGAAATGTTACTGCTGGTTTGGGGTTTAATCTGATCTACCAGATCAAATAGCAGTTCATGTATACGTTCCATGGCCAAAGAGGAAAACAGACTCCACTGCTGCACAGACCGAGGTGTTAATAAGAAAATACTCTCTGCAGCATAAAAGAAAAACCCAACCAAAACAAACCAATGAAACGCACACATAAAACTATCTGGACCTTTTATTATTCTGATCTAGTTTTCTACCCACCACACTAACTCTCAGTCTCTATCAGTGCTTTAAAGAAACCAATTGAATTCACCTTAAGCTAGGATTATATGTGAAGTTTTACAGCACCTGAAGGAGTTGCAAATTCAAGTCAATAAACCTCCAATTTGGTAACAATTTGTTCTTCCAAACAGAAGCTTGACAAAGGATTATTTTGCAATGCCTACACAGGCAGAGAAGACATGGAGCTCAGAAGGGCAGAGGACTTCTGCAAAGCTACAGGCAACACCTTCTCCCTGCTGCAGACTAGAATGAGATCAGTCACCTCCAATGTAGCTGTTTCAACAGCTACCCAGAACGTGCAGTTTGACTGTTTCGTGATGCTCATGACAGGGACAAGTTTTCATTTCCTGCCTCAGATCAGACACACCAGTCAAGAGGGAAATTCTGTATACATTCCTAAAGATCTTCTTTCCTTCCCTAGCTCAAGAGCTCACTATTCCACACAGCTTTCTTGCTACCAAACTGAATGTCAGCCTTCAGTGCCTTTACTTCCCTAAAGCCTGCCAACAGGAATCAATTCCACAGACTGTTGGAGCAAAACACAAAAAGCCATGAACATATTGCTTTGATAGAGTAGGAAATAAGAGCAACTATTGTTTAGAATATTGAGTTATGTGAAAATAAAAAACAACCACATTTTCCTATACCAAGAAACTGCATCTCTACAGCAGCACACACCTCTGGTTCTAAAACCAAATTTAAACCAAAATGAAATACAAAAGAGTCACACTGAAGTGTTATATCAGGCTAACACCCTTCAAAATAGAATACTTGGTTCAGGACAGAAGTCAGTAGCTGTTTAGCATCCAGACCATCCTATGACCTTAGCAACTCATTGGGAAAACAAAGCAAAGACAACACACACACACACAAACAAAAAAAAAAGCCCCATACTTCTTTGGAGGAAGTTTGGAAATGAAAAAACTTTACCGATGTCCTCTATGCACAAATGTAGTTTATTTGTCATCCCCTACCAATCCAGACCAGACAGCTCAAAGTCTGGAGGGTAAAGTGCAAACAAACTTTCACTCAGACTGACAAGTTAACTGATATTTTTGCTGCAAACTGGGCGAGTTGGCTGCTTGATGTTTTCCACCTTCAAGCCAAGTCCTGATGCCCACTACAATCAAACTACTTCCCCCTTTTCCTCTCATGAAGCATTGGAGAATTAAACCTACTGTATCCAAAGCAGAGCAAAACACAGACACAACCCTGAAATTATGGTGACACCTTCGTGTAAGTAGAGCACAAATAAGGCATAGTAACTCCATGCAGTTTCTGCCCATGCCAACCTAATCTGGATGCCACCCATGCGAGCTAAATGCAGACAGAGCCATGGTGCCAGTCAGGAAAAGGAAATTAACTGCTATATACTATCTGATCTTTGTTTTGTCCCTTAAAACCACCTGAGAGCAGAGCACACTCAAATATAAGGCATTCTGCTTAAGTGTGTATTTAGCACTGTTCTTAGAAACCTAATGCAGCTTTCTGTAACAAACTTGGAACCCAATTGCAGTCCTCTCTTCTGAGAGGCACAGAAGACCTGAATGCATATCAATTAGTTAATCATCATCTACATGATAACATCCACTATCAGTCAATGCAATAGCTATGTCCAACATTCATTTATCTTATAAAGCTGTAAGATACTGATTTGGTAGAGACACCACAGATATTCCCCGACATCCTTCTATGCCAAACCACATTCAGATAAATACTTCAACTGCGTTGGTCTATGCACCTTTTCAGGGCTTACCCACACACATCTTCGTGTCCAGTGCCCTTCCACCTACACTTCTCTCATATACAGGCAATACACATGTTGAACTGAACCCACTTAGGCCCCTGAAATCAATTATGTGAAACTTTTTTTTACCCACCTCAGTGAAAGTTTAGCATTTTATCCAGCCCTATCTTTTGACTACTGGTGAAACAACCAAAAGTTTTAAGAGTACCATGCACAAGTACCACCTGAAGTAGGAAAAAGTAATAAAGCTAGTAACCACAGATTCCATGTAAAAGATCAATGACAAAACACGGTAGAATGTGTTTCCCAAGGCTTTATTGATCACGTTTCACTCTTATTACCACACTTTCTCCATCTCTTGAAGCCTTTTTGTTGCACAGAAAATCCACCAACCTCAGAAGCTGTAATTTCATGCATTTCTAGACTAGCAGCTAGCTCCAAGCTGATGTCTCTTAACTCCCTAGCCTTCTAAGATGACCCTCTTATCTCTCAACCCGAGAAGGCTTATCAGTACTTTTGTCTCAGTTATTCTGGACTTTAGCCACTGTACTCCACTTCTGGATCCCAAATTCTCTGCACCATTCTCCTTCTCTAACACCAAGCAAGGAGAATGCATTGCTATTCCATCAGTTTTCTGCTGTGGAAGATAGGATGCAAAAGGGAATTTGGGAGAAAAACCTGGCAGCAAAGCAATGAGACCTGCTCCTACAGCTTCCTCCTTGAGGTACCAAGTTAAAAGACATTCTGCTTATCCAACTAAAAGAATGATCACCATTTAACCTTAAATTTTCTCTTTATGATCACAGAGTTAGACATTTGCTTCTAGGAACAGCTGAGAAGCAATTAGATGATAAAGGATGTCTCTGGCAACTGAGCAGCACCAAGGCAGTGTGGTAACAGCTTGGTTATTGCTACCACACTGCAATCTCCTCAGGCCAATTAGTTCATTGGTCATGTTTGGAAGCAAAGAACTGTAATTAGCTTGTTAAATAATACAGTTATTTAGCAGACACTTGTGAATGTTACAATTCCATTTCGCAGGGTATGCCATTTTTCACCCTAATCGGCTGCTAGGTTACTGTCCCTCTGACGTGCCTTGCACACAGATGGAGAACAGGTTCTTCTTTCCCCATGTCACCCATCTCTTATTTCACACCACCGAGACACGAACTGACAAAACCAGTGCATATATCAATAGTCATCATCTGACTTCAGCACTTGTGAGACACTGTGCCCATGCACTGTGACCTTCTGAATGGTCAGCAGCTTGAGCGTCCCAGGGAGGGATCCAACAGCCAGTCAGGGGGTTCTAGCTTGAGGGTGGGCAGTAAAGAGGCAAATGAGTTAAGATATCCATGTCTTTCACTTTCAAAACTGAAACCACATTTAAAACAGATGCAGGAAAATATCTGCCATATCACTGGAGAAAAATGTCAGGGCAGCCTCAATACTTAGAGATATCAAAAGCCTGTATCATTGTCTTAATCAGAGTCAGAAGTAGATTGTCATCTTAGTGTTTTAAAGGAACCAATCACCTTCTGCCTCCATTACGAAAGACTTTCATATAAGGAGCTCATTACCTGCCTGTCATCACACAGAATTTTGGC